ATCCGGCGGGTCAGGATGTGATCCATCCAGGCCTCCAGGAAGGCCGTGGTGACCCGTGCCAGGGTGGGCACCTGGGCATCGTGGGGCAGGGCCTGGGCTCCCTGCAGCACCTGCCCCAGCACCGCCTGCACCGCGGCCGCCGCGTACGCGCTGGGGGAGCTGGGCAGCTCTGGGGGATACAGGGACCCAGCTCAGTGACCCCCTGGAGCCCCCCACCAAGCACCCCACACATCCCCCCAGCTCCAACACCCACCAGCGCGTGGCCTGAGCCGCCAGTGCCGGCCCAGTGGCATCGTCTGGTCGAAGATCTCGGCTGAGAGCCGCTTGCAGCTGGTGGAGAACATCCAGAGCACATCCCCGGAGAAGCGCTGGGACACAGGGAACACGGGATGACACAGGGTGACACCGGGTGACACAGACATCCTCCTGCTCAGGCCTGCAGTCACACCACACCTGGATGCTGTTGGCCACGTCTCGGATCTGCCGGCACAGCTGGAGCTCCCACGGGGATCCCGGGCTGGGGAGTGGCTCAGGGGGGCCGTCCCCGTGAATGTCCCTTGGCTCCGGGAAGGTCCCGCTCACCTGCAGCATCAGCTCCTCTGCCTCTGCCTTCAGCACCTGGAGGGGAGCAGGAGGAGTGAATCCAGCCCCCGCCGTGTCCCCCCAGAGCCCCGTGCCCCCTGTGCCCCCGTACCTGCAGGTCTCCCTGGGTGAGCAGCAGGAACTGAGGCAGCGCCCAGGCCGCCAGGTACCGCCCGGCCCGGCCCGTCAGCCACGCGTGGGCGGCCGCCACCGCTGCCAGGCACCGGGCCAGCACCTGCAGCCGCAGGCAGAGACCCCCGGGGGGGGCTGCGGGTGGGGGTCAGCACGGAGAGGCTCCCCAGACCCACCCGCCCCCCACCCGGACCCCTCTCACCGTGCGGGCGGGCGGGCAGCAGGCGCAGGCAGCGCAGGGCCAGCGCCAGGGCTGGGAAGAGGCACCGCAGCTGCTGGGCTGTGCGGCTGCACCCCGGCCCCGGGGGCCCCCCTGGAGCCTCCAAGCACTTGTCTGACAGCCCTGAGCCCAGAGCACGGGTAAAATCTAGAGCAGAAACAGTTAGAAGGCTCCAACATCCCCCGCCTGCACCCCACACCCTGTCCCCAACACTTCACACAGCGTGCCCCGCTCCCTCACCCCATATCCACCAAGTGCCCCACGCCCTGCAGCACAGCCTGTACCCCCTGTACCCCACCCTGTGCTCCCCCAGCCCCCCGTACCCGTGTCCCAGCTGCAGAGGACGCTGCGGCACAGCAGGCGCAGGCAGAGCCGCCCCAGCTCCTCCTGGCACTCGGGGGGCACACGGGCTGTGGGGACACAGGGGGGGTCAGGGTAGGGTGGGGACACCCTGAGGGAGCCCCCACACCCCCTGCACCCCCACGTACCAACAGCGAGCGCACGGCTCAGCTCCCACGCCGCGGTGAGGGTGGCACCGGGGGTGGCAGGAGGGGTGCCGGGGATGTCCCCCAGCACGGCGCCCGCAGCCTCCCAGAGCAGCAGGTGGTACCGGGCACTCAGTGTGGCAACCGCGGGGCCACGGGCGGCGTCCAGCCACCGCACGGCCTTCCAGCCACCTGCACTGCCCGGCCGCGGTCCTGGCGCCAGCCCCGGGGGCTCGGGGCTCTCTGACAGCACTGGCTGCCACAGGCTGTCAGCTGAGGCCACCAGTGCCCCAAAAACGTGTTTCATCAGCTCCTCGTCCTCCTGGCACACCGCCTGCAGCTCAGCCGCCAGCGCCGATGGCACCTCTGCTCTGGAAGGTTCTGTGTCCATCCCCGTGCCCGTCTCCGCCGCGTCGTGCCCCGGTGGCCACGGCACCACCGCGTCCTCCCAGCGGACGTGTCCGTCCCTGATGTTCCCGTTCTGAGGCCACAGGAGAGGCTGGAGCCTCTGGGCCACGGCCCGGCCGCGCTCAGCCGCCAGCAGCCGCAGCACCCTGCCCACCGTGAAGGCGCTGGGAGCCTTCACCTCGGGGCCCAGCTCCTCCGCCAGCCCCTGCACCACGCGGTTGTACATCTCCAGCCCCTGGAAGAGGTCAGCCAGGCACTCAGAGGCCGGGACAGGCATGCCGGGGCGGCCGAGCTCCCGCAGCCGTCCCTCGATGTGTCGCCCGGCCAGGCGCGTGGCCATCAGGGTGGGCAGCAGCAGCGCCCACCGCATGTGCACCACGGCCTCGCCCCGGCGCTGCGGCAGCGCCCGCAGCCACGCGTCCGTCCGCAGCCGCCGCAGCAGCGCGGCCCAGTGCCCCGCGTGCGCCCGCAGCTCCAGGCACAGCTCCCGCAGCGCCGGCGCGGGGCTCCCGGGCTCTCCGGGCCCCGGCAGCGCCAGCAGCCGCCGCAGGAATTCGGAGGAGGCCTTGAGGCGTCGGGTGAAGTCGCGGGCCAGGCGGAGCTGGTGGCGGTGCTGCAGCAGCGCGTGCAGGGCCGCTCCCCGCTCCGCCACGCGCTGCCGCGCGGCGTCCCCAGAAAAGTCACCGGCGCCGCTGGGATGGGGCCGAACGTACCCCAGGAAAGTCTCGGTGCGAGGGTCCTCCCAGACGCAGAGCCAGCGGCGCAGGCCTGGGAAGGTTTGCTCCAACGGGACCACGACGGACGCTGCTTCGTCCTCATCCTCGTCGTCGTCATCATCGCCATCGCTGCGCCGGTAAGACCGCGGGGACAGCAGGCGCCGCAGTCCCGGGGTGACGCTGCGCAGCATGGCCTCTGCCCGCTGCAAGGAGCGTGCCAGGGTCCCCCGCGACCCGCCTGGGGGGCACGGGACCCTCAGCATGGGGCAGTGACCATGGTGTAGGGTGGGGACGCCCAGTGTGCAGAACCTTGCTGTGGGGCAGCACCTGCACACATCGCCCCATCACTGCCCCACTGCCACCCTAACCCCGACACCACCAGGACCCAGTCATGTTCCCCAAAAGTCCCCCAGGATGCCACAGCCCCTTGGTGTCCCCACACCCCGTGACACGCCATCAGTGCCCCCCCCCAAGGACCCTAGACCCCATTAGGGTCCTCCACACTCCCCCCAGGGCCACGCACCCTATCAGGATCCCCGCAGCCCCCCAGAACACCACACCCCATTGTGGTCCCCGGGGATCTCACCGGGTTCGGGCAGCTCCCCGCGGGCAGCCCCATCGCCCGGTCCCGGCCGGGCCGTCAGCAGCAGCAGAATGAGGCCGCCCAGACCGGCTTCGCCCACCTGGAGGGGTACAGGGGGCTTAGGACCCCCGCGCCGGGGCGAGGGGCGGGGCCACTCGTGACCACGCCCACTAAATCAATGGCCACGCCCATTGCCACACCCCACCTTACTCCCGCCGTGGCCACGCCCCCGACCAGGGCTCGCCACTTTTGGCCACACCCCCCGCCCCCGCCCCCTGTGTCGTTGCCATGGAGACGCAGCACTGCCTGGGCCCGGTGCCCCCCTGCCCACCCCGTTACCGGCCCGGCCCCGCCGCTGCCCCGCGAGGGGTGTCCGAGCCCCCCCTGCCCCGAGCGGCCTCACCTGCAGGCATAGCTCTCCGCCGCGCCGCTCAGCGCCGCCGGCGTCCATGCCGGGCCATGCCGGGGGCGGCGGCAGCAAAGAGGCTTAGGCCGCGCCCTCGCTAATCCGGGGGGCTGGGCCAAATTGGTCGCCAGGAGGAGCCCGGCGTGAGGGGCAGGACGAGCGGCGGGGGGCGGCAGAGCCTACGGCCTTGGGGCAGGCGGGGACGGAGGGAGAGGATGTGGAGCTCCGCTTCCTCTCCGAGCGGGCCCTCCGGGCCGCCGTCCTGCCCGCATCCAACATGGCGGCGGGGCGGCCTCAAGCGGCTCCGTGACATATTTCCGGTAGGCCCGTGGTGCAGTTCGGCGGCGGCGGCGGCTCGTGGCGATGCGGGGCTCGGGCGGGACGCGGGAACGGGACGGGCCCGGGCTGGGCGGCTGCGGCTTCGGGCCTGCCCCCGCTGCCTGCCCCTGGGGCTGCACGCCCGGCCCCGCTGGCTGGAGCGGCGGTACGGGCCGTGGGAAGGCCGGGGGGACGCCGGGGAGGGAGCCCAGAGCGGGGCCCGATGGCGGCCCGGTTTCGGTTCCGCCTCCGCCGGCTCAAGGCTGTTTCTGCTTCCCATAGCACCCTTCTGCCCCCGGCACCGAATGTCCAGCTTCGGCGACTTCTCGGTGGCGTCGCAGGGCCCCCATCCGGCAGTGATCAAGTACAAGTCGGGGGACGTGTGTCTGCTCTGGGACGACGGTGAGTGCGGCGGGGGCTGCCGGGCTCCGGTGCCTGGGACTGCTCCTTACACAGCCCGTTCTCCTGCCAGAGCCCAGGGTGGATTATTACCAGCTGGAGGATGGCGATGATGATGAAAATGACGATGGGGATTACGATGAGGACGAGTTCGACGCAGGTTTCCAGTTCTTGGACGTTCCCGTCGCGGAGGGCTCCGTTCCCTACAGCTACTGCGGCTTCCGCAAGTCCTTCCTGTGCTGGGAGCCGTCTCCACAGCTCCCCCGGAGCTCTCCGACCGCCCTGGATGCGCGGCTAGACCGGCTGCCCACGCCCCGCCACACCTGGCTCACGGCAGAGGTGGGGAATGGCCCCGCCGCCCTTCCTGCTCTCCGGGGGCTGGGGGGTCCCGGGTTGGCATCACGAGAGGGGTCCCAGCTGGTGGCCCTGGCTCAGGGCGTCCGTCCCTCCTGCAGGAAGCCGAGAGGAACGCGCAGGAGCTGGTGGCGGAGGAGGAGCGGGCGAAGAGGAAGGCGGAGAAGAAGAAGCAGAAGAAGAAGGTGGGTGAGCTCTGGGAAGGGTCACGGGGATCTGGGGTCACTGCCTCTTCCTGGGGTGCTGCCAGCGGGTCCCTGAGCTCGGGGATCGCATGGCTGGGGGGGGCTGAGGGTGGTGGGGTTGGCGGGGGGACCGCATTTCTCTGCCTGACATTGGGTCCATGCGCTCCCTTTCCAGAAACAAAAAGACCGGAAGAAACAGGAGAAAGTGGGTCAAAAGAAAAAGAACAAAAAGAACACTGACCCAGTGAGTGACCAGTCTGGACCCCTCCTGCTGCTCTGGGGGATCCCCAGAGGTGGGGGCTGGCCATCTCCCCCTAGCCCCACCACTTCACCCGCTCCCTCTCCTTGCAGAGCCCCCCAAGTGGCCCTGCAGGCACTGCCCCCCCCCGAGATGGTGCTGAGGATGAGGGATGCTGCCCAGAGCCCTCCCCATGCCCTGGGGACTCCAGAGACCCCTCGGGGGAGCCTGAGCCGGAGGACACGGCAGCGACAGAGGTGAGGGACAGTCTCTACAGAGGAGCCATCTGTGCCTGAGGGGTCCCAGGGCTCTGCCTGCCCATCCCTCCCTGCTTCCCCAGGAGGAGCTGGACCTGAGCTGCACTTTTGTCTGCAAAGCACGGGAGAAGGCGAAGGTCCGGCTGCCCCCTCCAGGCAGTGACCGCTCCCCTGGGACACAGAGCGTGGAGCCAAGCAGGAAGGTGCCAGAGAAGGGGGGTGGGGAGCCTGTGGAGAGACCTGTGCCCCCCCAGTCCCTCCAGCCCAGGCCACCCAGCCCCAGCACGGTAGAGCAGAGCCTGGCGCTTGCAGGTCAGTGTAGGGACCCCCAGAGGGGCGAGGGGAGGGTGTTGGGGGCTCTCCCTGCTTCTCCCCAGCTCAGGGGGGGCTGGGCTAGGGGCCCATCCCTCCCCGTGTCCTCACTAACCAGCCCTGTGTGGCCTCCTCAGGCCATGGCATCGAGGCAGCCCAGATGGGCCAGCACACCGAGGCCGTTTGGGCTTTCACCGTCGCCCTGGAGCTGAACCCCCAGGAGCACCGGTGAGCAGAGAGGCTTGGGGTGAGCCAGAGGTCGTGGGGTGGGAGGGGCAGGACTCAATGACACCCCCACCCCTGCAGGCTCCTGGGGAACCGCTCGTACTGCCTGGAGAAGCTGGGCCGCTACAAGGAGGCGCTGGAGGATGCGGAGGCGGCGCTGGCGCTGCGGCCAGGCTGGCCCAAGGGCTCCTTCCGCAAGGGCAAGGCCCTGAAGGGGCTCCAGGTACCTGGGGGGGGGGTTCCAGGGACTGTGGGGCTGGCTAGAGGAGGTGGGTGCCACGGCTGGGTGAGGGATTGACGGGTTTCAGGAGGGAGTATGGGATTTGCAGAGTGGCTGCAGGGTGCTATGGTGTTCAGACAAACTGGGGGTTTTGGAGTGCTGGTGGGCTGGGGAGGGGGCTGAGGGGTGCCAGTGGGTCTGGGTGGGGGCTGTGGGGAACTGGAGGGGTGTAGGGGTGCTGTGGCTGAGTGGGGGGGCTGCTTGCATTAGGTGTGAGTTGGGGCTGGGAGGACTGGGCAGCGGACTGGGGGTGCTGCAGGGTGTTAGTGGGCTGGGGGGTGTCAGTGAGGCTCTGAGGTGCCATTTGGGCTGGGTGGGCGCTGTGGGATGCCCATGGGGCCAGGCAGGGGGGTGCAGGTGCCCTCTGGCCCGCAGCGGTACGCCGAAGCCGTGCACACCTTCGAGGAGCTGCTGCGGCAGGACGGGGCCTACACTGAGGCAGCCACGCAGCTGAAGGCCTGCCAGGCCCTGCTGCAGGTGAGACCCCCTTTCCCAACTCCCCTAGCCTCTGCCCCCTGTCCTGCTGTACCCCCCATGCCTCACCCCTGTCCCCTCACAGCAGTGTGGCAGCCCCAGCAGTGTCCCCTTCCTGCTCAAGGCGAAGGAGCCGCTGTGTCTCCCTGGTAAGGGACGGGGGTGGGTGGGCTTGGGGGGACCCCGGGGCTATCCCTGCGTCCCCGGTGGGTGCTGAACCCCTTTGGCCCCTCGGCAGCGGGATGGACGACCAGGAGCTGCCAGGACGCAGGTGGCACACGCGTGAAGAAAAGCAGCGCAGGGACCCCCAAGAGAGACCCGGGACAGGGACCTGCTGTGGCCAGTGGCCACCCAACACTGCCACCGAGCCACCCTGCCAGGTACGGGTGTCTGGTGATCTGGGGAGGGGGGAGTGCTGGCTCTGATAACACCAGCATGGCTCTTGGCAGGGACTGCTTCCCGCTCTGGGTGGGCAATGTCACCTCCCACATCAATGAGAAGATGCTGCGTGGTGCCTTTGGCCGGTGAGTGACCCCCAGGACTGCTCCTCCTCCAGGACCCCAAGCCCCTGGCACAGCCCTGGTGACCCCAAGCTCCCCAGCTCTGTCCCTGCCCTCATTCTCTTGGTGGTTTCGAGTGGCAGAGGATGCTTGGGGAGTATTCTCTGACTCACACACCACCCCCAGGTTTGGGAGTCTCTGTTCCACAGCTTGGGGTGTCTTTAACTGTTCCTCCTCAGGTTTAGGAGTCTCTGTTCCCCCATTCAGATTTGGGGGTGTTTCAGTCTCTGTTTTTGGGATGGGAGTTGCTAAACCTGCTTTGCACGTTTGAGAGTCTCTCACCCTCCCACCCTGCAGGTTTGGGGGTCTCTAACCCTTCACCTCCCCATTTTGGAATCTCTAACTGTTGCCCCCCGCATTTGGGGGTCTGTACCCCCCAGGTTCGGGGAGATCCGCTCCGTGCGGCTGCTCCCAGGACGCCACTGTGCCTTCATCAACTTCTCTGGGAAGGCGGAGGCCGAGGAGGCCTTCAGGGCCATGCAGGTGAGCTGGGGGGGCTTGTGGACCCCCCCTTACCCCTCGGGTGGCCCTGGGACACCCCATCCCCGCAGGGGACCTGTCCCGGTGCCACCTGCCATCTCCTTCTGTCCCCAGGGTGCCACCGTGGAGGGCAGCAAGCTGTTGCTGCAGCTCAAGCACCCGGTCCACGCCACCCCGGCCCCCGCGCCCCGTGCCAAGGGCAGGGCCACCCCCGGGGGCCTCAGTTGACCCTGCTCTGTTGGGGGGGCTCCCAGGGCCACCCCCGGGGGGCTCAGTTGACCCTGCTCTGTTGGGGGGGCTCCCCCTCACCTGCCTGTACCTGCCTGTGCCTTGTCCCCCACTGCCGGGGGTGGGAGTGTCTCCCCCTCCTGCCTTGGGGGTGCTGGGGGTCAGGGCCCACCCTGCAGCCCCTTGTGCTGAGAGGGTGGGCCCGTTCCCTGTGACCCCTCAGGGATTTGTACCAATTTGGTTTTTTTTTTTTTTTAATAAATCAGAGATTTGTTTTTCTCTCTGGCTTTCCTTTGGTGTCTCTCAGTCTCTCTGCCACCCCTCTCCATCGCTGTCCTGGACCCCCACTGCTCCAGCCCCCCATGTCCCTGTCCACCCCGTGTCCCTCTCTGTCCCCCCTTGCTCCCCATGTCACTGCAGCCCCAGGGGACAGCGAGGGGGGGTCTCCACCCTCCCGTAATGTCACTGGCTGGTGACAGGAGCTTCGGGGAGGGAGGGGGGTGACAGGCGTGAGATCAAATACAATTTGATTAATATGCAAATTGAGGGGGGCAGGAGCGGCCGCAGCCGGTAATTAATCACCGGTTAAAACAAATTAATGCCCGCGGTGGGAGGTGCTCGCCCGGAAAAAAGTGGGGGGTGGGGGGCTCTGGGGTCCATATTAAGGTGTCGCCTTTATTGCAAATATTTACACCGGGGCTGATAGAAAATAAAATTTAAAAAAAACCCAAAAAATAACAAACAATGGAAAGACGAAAAAAACCAAAACGAAACAAACAGAAAAAAAAAGCCGAAAAAGGCTGCACCGAGGGGGCGGGGCTGGGCTCGGCTCCTTTCGGAACCGAGCCGAGCGGATGTGGCGGAGCCGAGTCAGTCCGAACGGACCCGAGTGCACCCGAACGGAGCCGAACGGGGAGTCCAGTGAATCCGAAAGGAGCGGGCTCGGCCTGAACCGACCCGAGTGAATCCGAACTCAGCCGAGCCGGCCCGACTGGTGCCGAATGAATCCGAACTCAGCCGAGACGGCCCGAATGGTGCCGCGTGGATCGGGACGGAGCAGTCTCGGTCCGAATGGATCCGAACGGAGCCAAGCGGAGCCGGGCGTGTTCGGCTCAGTCCGCCACGTCGATCTCCTCCTCGGAGAGCTCGGCGGGCTCTGTGGTCCCGGTGCCGGTACCGGGAGCCCCCGGGGGGGGCTCGGGCAGCCCGGCCAGCTGCTGCAGGGCGGCGGGGGGCAGCGCTTGCAGCGAGGCCACGTCCGCCCGCAGCTCCTCCAGGTCCCGCTTGAGCTTGGCGCGGCGGTTCTGGAACCAGGTGATGACCTGGGCGGCGGAGAGCGCCAGCCGCGCCGCCAGCGCGTCCCGGTCCACCGGGGAGAGGTAGCGCTGCCGCCGAAATCGCTGCTCCAGCTCCCGCAGCTGCTGCGCCGTGAACGCGGTCCGGGACTTGCGACGCTTCCTGCAGGGAGGGCGAGGGCCCGAGGCACCCGGAGGGGACGGACCTGCGGAGACAGCGGGGTTAGGGCACGGAGAACAGCGGCGTTAGGGCACGGAGAACGGGGAGCTGCACCGGGACCCGCTCCGGGGAACGTCCCCCGGGCGCCCGGCTGTGTGTTGCCTGCGGGTGCAGGGCATCTCACCGGTAACGGCTCCGGGATGCCCGGTGGGGAAGGGTTTGTGGGGCAGGGTACCGGCACCGGCACCCGGACAGCACCGGCACCACCGAGCCTCGACCTGCGGGGACAGCGGCGTCAGGTCAAAGACACCGGGAGGCACCCCGAGCACTGCGGGTCCGGCCTGTGGGCACTGGTAGAGACGCGGATCGCCACCCCGGGCACGGCTCCGCGCCGCCGGCGGAATCCCGATCGCGGTCCCGATCTCTTTCCCCCTCCGGTTCTCGGGCACGGCCCGCTTCCCGATAACGCGGCTCGCTCGGGCCGTGCGTCCCCCGGTAACAGTGGTGGCTCCCGGGGTCTCTTCGCAGCGCGGACTCCGCTTCTCGTTCGGTAGAGAACCCCCGGGAGGTCCCGGCCGAGTCGGTGGGTCTGTCCCGGTAGCACGGCTTTACCGCCGTCACAAAAACGGGGTCGATGCCGCCTTCCAGTAACGGGGATTCCCCTCCGCTCTCGGAGCCCCGATCGGCCCCGTTTCTGTCCGTCCGCCCATCCCGGTAACGGGGATTTACCCCCGCTCAGGAGCCGTGATCGCTCCGCTGTCAGTCCGTCCTTCCGTAGCGGCGGTTTTTGTTGGTCACGGAAGCCCTGGACTGTCCCGGCTGTGTCGGTGGCTCCGTCCCGGTAATGAGGTTTTACCTGAATTACCGGCACCTCCATCTGCCCCCCAGTCCCGGCTCGTTCCGCCTTTACCCGAGGCCGGTTCGCGACCGGTTTTTTTTTAATTCCGAGATCCCTGCTTGGCCGTGTCCATCTGTCCGGCCGGTACCGGAGCTTCACCCCCTTCCCGGGAGCCTCGATCTCTCCCGCGTTTGTCCGGCCGGCAGCGGGGCTTTTTTTCGTTCATTTTTATTAATCCCGTGTCTGTCCTTCCGTCAGGCCGGTAACGAGAATTTACCTCCGCCTCGGGAGCCTCTGTCGTTCCGATTTTTTTTCCGTCTGATCACCCGGTAAAGCTTTTTTTTTTTTTTAATTTTATTTTTATTTTCGTTATTTTATTTTCGATTCTTTTCCTGTCGATCTGTCCGTCCGGTAATGTGCCTTTTTACCTTAATTCTGGGAGCCGCGATCGGCCCCGTTTCTGCCCGTCTGTCCGTCTCGGAAAAGGGAAATTTTTTTCGCCCCCGTTCACGTCTGTCTGTCCACCCGGTAATGGGATATTTAATTAATAATTTAATATAATTTCACTTATTTCGTTCCTTGCCGTGTCCGTTCGTCAGATAAAAGGGTTTTTACCTTACAATCAGGCGCCCGAGGCGTCCCCGCTCTGTTCGTCTGTCCGCCCGTTAACGGGTTGGTTTATTCGTTAATCACAGGAGCCCCTCTCTGTCTGTCCGTCCGTCTGCCCGCTGTGGTGGCTTCCTTAATTACCGCTACTCCTCTCCGTAATTAGGGAATTTTTTTCCCCCGTTAATTACCGGAGCCTGTCTCCTTTCTCTTTCATCCGTCCGGCCGGTAACGAAGGTTCGGTTACTCACGGGAGGGTTGATCCAGCGGTCCGTGTCCGTCTGTCCGAAGGGTTTTTCGTTACCGGCGTGAGTCGCATTGTGCCCAACCGTATCCGTTAATTGCCAGCACGCTGCTCTGCCGTGACTGGCGGTCTGTCCGTTCCGGTAATGGGTTTTTTTTTCACGTTTATCACGGAGACTCTCTCTGTCCGTCTCTGTAAGGGACGGTAATTGTTTTCTACGTTAATTACCGGAGCCTTTTTGGATCTATCCGCGTCGGTTTGTCTGTCCCGCTAACGGTTTTATTCATTCCCGGCGACACCGTGCTTTGCCTGTCCGTGTGTCCATCCGTGCGAGGGATTTTCCGTTAATCCCGGAGTAACGATCTGTCCGTCCGTGTCAATCTCTCCAACCCACTAAGGGATTTTTTCGTTCCCGGAGGCTCCGTGCTGTCTGTCGGTGTCCGTCTGTCCTCCCGGTTCGGCCGAACCCGGGAGCCCGGGTCCGTGAGCGGCCGTCGGAGCCCACCGGTACAGGGGGTGCCAAGCCCCGGACGGAGCCGCCGTCCCCGCGGAGGGTCGGGGTCGGTACCGGGTTTCCGATCCGCCGCTCGGTCCCCGCGCTCGGTCACGGTCACGGTCACGACTCGGCGGCGCCGAGCCCGGTCCCGCGGCTCCCGATAAAGCTGCCGGTTCTGCCGGTGCCCGCGGCGGCTCACCGGGGCCGGGGCTCTCTCCGGTTCCCTGTGTCCGGCCCCGGGACTTCTCCCTCCTTTCGGACTGAGCCTGCCGCGTGTCCCCGGTGTCCCAGCTGAGCACCGGCGGCTTCTCGGGCCTCCCAGCAGCGCTCGTCCCTCTGGGACAAGGAGGAAACTTCCCGGGACGGGGGACGAGGGGCGTCCCTGGCCTCGCCATGGCCTCCCCACCGCCCTCCAGCCCCGCCACCTGCCCGGTGCCCGGTGCCCGGTGCCTGCCCCGCTCCCGACAAAGCCCTCCTGCCCCTGCAGCCCCCCGGCCCCGGTACCTCCGGCTGCCTGCAGCATTCCCAGCTCCAGCCCCTGGAAGGTTTTACTGGCGAGTTCCTCCAGCGCCCAGAGCGGCGAGGCCGGGGCGCAGCCGCCGCCGCCGCCGCGGGGCCCTGTCGGGGCGGGGGGGGCGGCGGGACCGATCCCGGTCCCGGGGGGGCTCCCGCCGCGGGGGCGCCCCAGGATGTCCTCGATGCCGAAGGGTGTCAGCGGTTTTGTGGTGTTGGCGGGGGGCGGGAGCCGGTCCAGGGGGCTCCGCCGGTGGCCACCGACCGCGGCGGGCAGCGGGGGGGAACCGGCCGCCTCCCCCGCCGAGGTCATGCCGGGACCGGGACCCGCGCCGGGACCGGGACCCGCCGCCGCCGCCCCTCCCCCCCCCCAGCCCCGCGATTCCCGTTCCACCGCCTTAAAGCCCCGGGATACCGGGAGGAGGAGGAGGAGGAGCCACCGACGCCCCCCCTGTCGAGGGGGGGGGGGACCGACCCCTCTCCGCCACTACCGGGGCGCAGCCCCGCGCCTCCCCCCTGTTGTCTCCCCCATTTTAACCCATCCCAGTGGGTCCCCCCTCCTCCTCTGCTCCCTCCTCATCCTCACCGCGGCTCTTACCCTCACCCAAAAATTTATTGGCTCTTTTGCTCTAAAATGCCCCATAAAAGCATCGGGGCCGCGGCTGGGAGTGATTAAGCCCTTTTGGGTGGGTTTTGGGTTTCAGAGCCATAAATTCCGCCCCCCCCTCCCCACATTCCCGCTGCCCTTTCCCGGTACAAATAGCTCCGGGATTTCGGCCGCTCGTAAAAATCCCGGGATGCCGCACACGCAGGTGAGGCCTGGCTGGCGACACCGCGTCCGGATTATCCGGCGGGTTTGGGGTTGGGGGATTCCGAATTGCCCCCTCCAGAGAGGATCCCCCCCCTTCCCAATCCCAATCCCATCGGGTGTCCCCATGGATCTGTCGCTGGGATCGGGGACATGGCGAGGTCACGGGGGTCACGGCGGTAATGAACCTGCGGATGATGTGGGGAGGGGGCCGGTGGGAGCACACGGAGCCGGGTTGGGGGAGCAGGTGCAGGGGGATCCGGCAGCGCCGATGCCAAGATTATGGAAGTGGGGAGGGGGCGGGAGCGGGGTTGGGTGGGTGGTGGGGGGGGAGATTTTTCCAATCTTGCTGACAAAGGCAGAACGCGATCTCCCGGCTGGAAATCGGAGTTTGACAAATTCAACCTTGAAATTTCCCAGCAGCCGGAGCAATTAAACGCCGGCGGGGGGGGGGGGGGGGGGGGTGGGGAGGGGGCTCGGTTTGGGAGAGGGACACGGGGCCCCTCGCACGGCGGCGTGCCGGGCACAGCGGTGTTTGCACGGATTCCTCGCACGCGGCTTTTGTCCTCTCCGCAGGGCGCGGGGAGATGGCGGAGCCGCCGTGGCCGTACGTGCCGCCGGGGGATGGAGCCTGTCCCGGGATGCGGGAGAGCTGGGACCCCCACTCCCACCCCCCCACGCGGGGTCCAGCACTCGGGTGGACCCCTGTGAGCCCAGTCCCCTTGGGCATGAGGCCACCGCTCCGGCCACAAGACCCTGAGCCCCCGGTGAGCAGGGAATAGGGGTCGCAGCCCTTCCCAGGAGTCCCAACCCCTCTGCCGGGGATCCCAGCCCCGTGGGGGAAGCCGTGGTCTCAGTGCTGGTTTAACGCTCTGGGACACACTGGGAAATCGCTTCTCAGGGTGATTTCCACGTTTTTGTGGGGAATCGCGGCCGCCCACCCGCTGAGCAAACCCCTCTGGAACGCTCCGGCCCCTCCGGGGACAGCAGGATCTCAGCAGCCGAGTCCCGGGGCTGGGAATGTGGGAGTGCTCCCACCGGGCTGCGAGACGGGAATCTGCAGATCCCCAGCAGTGGTGGCCACCCTGATGGATGGGATGTCACCCTCACCCCATCGCCCCCTCTCATCAGCCCCCCGTTATCCCCACCCGTTGCTAGTCAGCAGTTTTGGTGAATCCCTGCGCCCAGGGATGCTCCCATATCATGGTGCTGGCACCTCCTTCCCTCCCTGAGCCCCCACTCGTGTCCCGAGGCTGCCGGTGAAGCATTGGCGGGGTGGGCTGAGCCCCCCACACCCTGCCCGACCCCTCCGGCTTCCCCCCGGTGTGGGAAGTGCTGGCTCCAGCTGCCGGGAACACAGGATGGGAAACGCTTTTCACCCCAAACCAGGCCACAGGGTGGGAACAAAACGAGCCCTCGGGGGTTTTGCAGGAACACTGGAGCTTCCTGCTGAGCCGGGAGAGTGCCCGGGGCTGGCCGGGTGCCCGCAGCCCGAGGGGAGGGTGACTGGCACATCCACGGCGTGAGGCTGAGGGCACCCCAGGGTACCGCAGCGGTGTGGCACTGACAGCCTCCGCCTTTGTCCCGCTCCTCCACCCCGGGGGTGTCCCTGGGGGGCTCTGGGGGCTCCTAGAGGTCTGGAACTTCGGCTCCCAGCCCCTGACGCCCCATGAGCAGCAGCGGGCACAGCACACGCGTGTGTTTGTGTGTGTGTTTGTGTGTGTGTTCGCATGAGTGAGGGGTTGTGTGTGCACAATGGTGTGACCCGCGTGTGAGGGGGTGTTTGTGCTGGAGCTGGGGCTGCTGCCGCGTCCCCCCCACCCAGAATCGCCCATCCTGGGGGGCTGCCGTGGCTCCAAACACCGGCAGCTCCAGGTATTCCTCCACCCGGGGCCGCACATCCCGGCGAGCTGCCGGCACGGGGTGCTGGGGTGTGCCAGGGGGTCCCGGATCGGGGTGTGGGGAGCAGGGTGCCGGGGGTAACACAATTCGGGGTGCGGTGCCCCCGTGAGGCGCCTCCCCTCCCCGCGCCGCCTTGATCCATTATTTATCGGCTCCATCCCAATATTGCGCCGCAGCGCTCCGTAACGCGATTAGGACCGCGGCCCCGCGCGGCCCCGGCACATGGAAATCGCTGGCAAATGAATTTTCCTTTAATAAGGGAACAGCTCGGTGCGGAATTAAAGTGTAAGGAGCGACGGCAGCGCCGGGGGGGTGCCGGGAGCCCCCCCGCGCCGGGGGACGGGACCCCAGCAATTACAGGCAATAAATCCTGACCCTGTGGTGGGCTGGGACCTCAGCGGAGCCGGGAATAATGGGATTACACCTGGCTCCGGTGAATGGGGATGGACGTGTCGGGAGTCGGGGCAGCCAGGGGAGACGGGGATCCCTCCCTGGGGCTGTTGGCAAATCATCGATTCATTAACACGAGCGGCATCGCCCCACGCGCTCCGGAGGGGCTGAGCACAACCACGGCCCGGGGGGAGCGTGGGGGGCCGGGATGGGATGGGGATATGGACACGGGGACAGCGCAGGACAAGGGACGCAGGTTTTGCACATCCCTCCGCGTGTCTGTGGGCACAACCACCCCAGCGGGCTCCTCGCAGGTGTGCAGGTGTGTCCAGGTGTGCGTGGAAGGCTCACGGACACACCAGCTCACATCCAGAGCCGCCACACGCGTGGAGCCACCAGTGCCAGTGCCAGGGACCGGCCGCGGTCAGAGGGTCCCGCCAGCCCCGGCCGCAGCTGCCGCACTCCCCCGGAATCCCCTGCTCGCTCCGGGGCCTCCATTTGTGCCTGGGCCAAACTCCAGCCAAATGGGCCGTGGGCGGGGGGGGGGGGGTTGCATTTCAAAGGCTCCGGCTGCAGCAAACGCCGCTGCCCCCCGCCGGGCCCTCGGCCGCCCACGCCCCCTGACCCCCGCACGGCACGGCCGGGATGGGGGGGACTCCGCGTCCCCTGCCCCGGCAGAGGGACCCGCTGGGACCCCCATGGAGTCGGGCTCCGTCCAGAGTTGACCTGCGGCTGTGGAGGGGAGCGGGCTGGGCTGTCGGGGAGTGGGATCCCCATCCCGCCGTGGGGCAGAGCCGTGGGGCTCGCTGCCCACCGAGCGGGGGTCTCTGTGCCCGGGGGGGAGCGGGGAGCAACAACCGGGATGGGGCGGCTGGAGAGGATGGGGGGCTCCGAGTGCTCCCTGGCGTGGGGCACCCCCAGGCTCCCCGTGGCACCGGGACCCCTGGGGGACCTGCTGCGGGCAGCGGGACGGTGGCGGGTGCCGCGGCGGGGCCGAGGCGGCGGCGGGGCCATGAGGATTCAATTAGGGCCGAGCGCGGGGGACTCGGCTCGGAAATGGCCCGTCTGGGCGTTGACAGCCCGGCCCCCGCCCAAGATGAACGACCCCCGGATTAAAGCGAGGAGGGGTGACAGGGGCACCTGAGCGGGGAGGGGGCTGGGGAGGCTGCAGGGGGGCGGGACCCCGCATTTGGCACCGCCAAGGGGCCACTGAACGGCCGGGAGGGGAACCCAGTGGGGGGGGGCATTATGGGACCACCCCTAAACCTGGCTGGGGACACCTCGAGCCATGTGTGCATGCAGCCCCGCACCGCTACAGCGGTGGCAGCAGAGTGGGGGCACCCCGGGGGTCCTACGGGACTCTGCCATGCGTAGGATTGAAGAGGGGGGACGACACACGCCCCTGTCATCCCGCAGGACCCCGAGGGGGCCCGTCCGTCGCTGCGAGCACGGCACAGGGCTCGGGGGATCGATGGCCGCGCGGGTCACCGCTGCCATTAACCCCGGCGAGGCAGCGCCCCGAGGTTAATTAAAAAGTGAAGTGCAACGAAACGCGGCGGCGGCGGCGGGGGTTGACAGTGGTGATGGGGCCTGACAGCGGCTGGGGGGGGGTGACAGCCACAGGGAATGGTGGGGGTGGCACTTGTACGGGCACGGTGGGTGCTCCAGGGGACACCGTCGGGCTGCCACACCGGGAATGGGGGTGCGGGGGGCCAGCGGGGGGGGGGCAGGTGG